TTGTAACAATGGCTAACAACCAACACAGCACACAACAGAGGATGGTTTTTGGGATGGTCACGGAGCTACGATAAACGTACGGGAAGGCAACAGCTATGAACCGTTCAACCGCAAAAATGATCATGATACAAACACTCGCGCGCACGGTTATCTGCGAAACGATCTTGGCCTGAAGCATGACATCTTGCATTGCCATTCCTTCCAGAATATGTGCTATTCCAACGTCTACGGCGGTTACACATCCCGTTAGAAAGTCTGCTATGCTCAGAGAGACCACAAGAACTGCGGTGGCGTTGCGAAATTTCTTTAGCGGATCTTTATAGATCATGAACAGGAGGATGCCATTGGAGATCGATATCAACAACGCGAAAAAGAGCAGTACGCCTCCGTTGATAATGAAGACATGAGATTTGAAGTCTTCATTGCCTTGATTAAGGCTGGCGGTCATCTTTACCAAAGTAGCAGAAGAAAAGATTGGGGACCTTTCTGTTTAGCGACAAGCGACAACTGGCGTTAAATGCGGAAATTCAATGTATACTAAGTGCTTGTGGTTTTCACGAGCCGTTTCGTTCGTTCAAATGATAATCATTAAGTTGCTATTACCATAGTACACCTGCCTACTTTAACAAAGGACAAGTGATTGTTATTTTTGTTTCCTCGTATTCGCCCGGCTGAAACCTGATTGGGAATCAGCCTCTTTGGTAGAGGATCAATGAATTTTAAATTATTCTGAATCACCGACTCCTTTTTAAAGGAACGCTTTCTTGAAAACCCTGGTTCACCTTGACGCACTTCAGTTAGCGCTGTTAATAATGCTCATTTTAAATTATTGACTTGAGCATTATAAAATTTCCCCTATAATATTTATGTCTTTTAGGTTAAGTCCTTAATATGGGCACACATAAATAAGTGCTTTGTGATTAGCTCTGACAAGCCATATAGTTTTCCCCGCGCCCCATGAAGAACTCGACCGGATTGGAGATCAATATCAGATCACTGCAAAACAAGTTGGTGAAAGGACTTTGTTTCCCTTGATACAAATTTATTTTCAAATTGTCTGTTTTCTGATTTCTAATGTAAAGAAAATGAGATGCTAAAAGATATTTCGGACTCTCATTCCCGTAGTAGAAGAAGAGAAATCTGGCTTGAATAAATCAAAGGTTAAATTCCCTTTAGGTGCAAAAAGGACAGCTTTAATAGAATTTTCAAAGCAGAGAAACACTGGTTTAACTTGCACATACCAATCTAATCGAAAGCTTGAATGACCACATTTAGTTTTCAGGCCAGGCGCAATTCCAAGAATTGATGATCTTTTCTGGCTCTTCTTTTATCTACAGTTATTTCGTGGATAGAAGAAATGATTTGCTTTACCACATAAATCACGAAAAGTATTGGAAGTTAGCCGTTGAGAACAATTCAGTGATAAACTTAGTACACACTAAAATAACTTTATCGTTTCAACGCTATTTCAAACACGATCTTAGCCAGGAGCAATGAACTGAGACATATTTGCATCCATATTTAAAATGATAACAGTAAATCATTGAGGAATTCGTCAGCATGATTTGCAATTCGTACTCTCTTCTTCTCGTATTGCACAACAATTTTACAGAAATATTCACCGAATAAACACAGAGAAAAAGTGCTTCTCTTGTTTCTGGTTTTTTCTCCTCAACTCCCTTCAATTCTACTGGCACGTTAACACTTTCCGATTTTCATCGAAGATTCGAATCATCTGTAAATAAATGCAGCAAACAGATTCTGTCACGAGAGGTTTAAAAGTTGGAAGTCATTTGATGTTCCTCGCACTCAGTCTACCTCTCCTAATTGAATTTTAATGAAGCCCGCAGTGAACTATGGGAACGTATCCGAAAAAAAAAAACAAAGAAAAATCCTGTGGTTTCCCAGAAAGGTGACGTAATTATATGAATGATACCAAGAAAGTTACTCTACTAACTAACTACGTTCTTAAATCGACATTTAAGGTGAGTTTGATCCGAAGATGTAATATAGCGTCATTATGGAACACTTAAAGAGGAACTGAGTCAAGTTAAGGCTTTTCCTTTGGCGCCTTTTGCGGTAAATCAGCTCGAATATCTCAAAACATACTTAACGTTGAATATTATGCTTAGAATAGTTAATTAGAGCTGTTCTTTAGTGATCTCAACGCTCACTGTATATACTTGGAATAGTTACTAAGAGCTGTAATTCAGCGATCTCAACGCTCACTGTATCTAACATCAAATTGGAACTTAGAAATCATTTTATTTCATCGTATGAATAAAGGAACGACTGACTGGATACGGAATTTTGTCTACTTCAATGCGTAAACATCAAACTAATTAACTGTTCGTTCATTTGGAACCTGATGTACAAACAAATTCCTAGATGAACATTCTATCAGGTTGCGTTAAAAAAGGAAGACAGATTAATAACCATGAACACGGTTGTTAGGACAAACAATGATTTTAACTTTTTAGTGACTTCACATTCTGCGGTGAAATCGACCGAGCGACTGTTGATGCCGACATTGTCAATTTTTCTCAGCCGGTAATATTTACGAGTTAGCCGTGAAAACTTACTTGATTATCGAACTTGATGCATGAACCAGCTAACCGTCGCTTTGTAGCGTACCTCTACCCGTTGTTACGTCTTTTTTTCCATTACTTTTTACCTATTGCTAGATGTTTGAAGGAAGCACTGCCAAGGACACATTTGAAGCAAAATCGAAACCAGAAGTTGAAAAAACAATTGGCTACGCTCAGACAAAAACTATTTATGTCCAAGGCCAAACCTTTTCAAATAATTCAGAGCTTAGCCGCCACTTTAGTTTTTGTTAAGGTTAAGAACAAGTTGATATCAGTAAAAGCTTTGAATTCGCCGACCACCATGCTTTTAAGTTGTACCGTAGTAGGCTGATGGAAACTTCTGGAGAGCCCCAGAGTAACCGACCTTACGATTCGCAATTACGACGTCTCAATAATGTTTTGTTTTGTCTTTGCTGCAGTCCTCGAGGTTTTGATGGTTTTTAATAAAGGCATTAAAAATTTTCGTAGAAACAATTAGCTAAAGCTCATTGCGTGTATTTTGTCATCTAAAATTATCTTCAAGTTTTAAACTCAACAAAGACAGCTTTGTATCATCGTCACACAATTGGCAACTCAGTGGTAGGTTAAGTGCGGGGATTCCCCGAATTCAAAACAGAAGATGATGCAAAATAATTTCCTTCATAGAGCTTCTAACTTTAATTGCTCCAGCCACAACTTTCTTAACCGCATTGGATTAACACTGATTACTTTGTTCAGAGGTCGAAGATAAAACTGTAACGATAACATAAAATAAAGGATGAACCTTTTATCTGCTACTCCCATGTAGTCCGGCGTATTGAATAACAAACATTACTTAATATGCAAATCAATTATCGTCCATTCGCAAGCATTTGTTTGTATTGAATCAAGACGACAAGACACCACAGTTTTCTAATTCGCTTCGTATCAATTATTTCTCTTCTTTCATTGAAGTAATGCCCTCCCCAAGTGCTCCTGGGACGATCGGACAACTAACAAAGCCGGAGTACAGAAACTGGCTTGCTCTCGGTCATGCGTTAACAACGGAGCTGCGTCACGGTCTTCGCCCTTTCGTTACCCGTGAGATGGAGTCATTTTATAGAAATGTGTCTGCAAGAGTTGCTGGACCCTGCACATGTGTCCATATCCCGAGAAGAAAACCAAATGAATACCACGACATGAGGACCTGTCAGTGGGCTCATATCCTTCAGGCACATCATGACAAAAACAGGCCAAATTGGAAACAAAGTGATGGCAGTAAGTGGATGGATCCAATCCTGGGTCCTTGGGAAATAGCCAAGCTCTTCCTCCCTGATCAGGGAGGCCATGCAGATATCAAGAGCGCAGATGACATGGACATCGCTGGTTTTCTAAATCTGATGTCCTGGTGCAGCCACTTCACTGTTTCACTGCCCTTGATCAAAGCCGTCCGTGACACTCGAAATGACAAGTGGGTGCATGTGCCACAGCTAGAGTTAAGTGATGCCGATAAGAGAGACGCCTTTGATACGATTGAAAATCTGCTTCAGGATCCTAGCATAGTTCACGATCCAGACGCTCAGCAAGCCCTGAGAGAAGTAAACAACCTTAGGCATGTTTCAGACCTGCAGAGTATGGAGGCACAAGTGTTGGCCGACCTAAAAGAAATTTTGGCAAAAGAGATTTCTAGCATTAATAACAATTTGACAACATTGATGGAGGAGTCCGCCAGGAACAAAGAGCAGCAAAACCAGCTCCAAGAACAACATGAGATTCTTAAAAACCAACTTGATGATTTAAATTGGACAAGATTGCCTAAAGAAAGTCAAACATTTGGAAACCTGTTAGGAATCCTTGTAGGAAACCTGATAAGAAATATCAAGCCCGTGAGAAAAATCCACCTCATATCGTGGTTCATGTTTATGCTCCTATGTAACCTCTGTATCGTTTTAGAGGATTCTTACGACGGAGATGGTGAGTAAATAAAACTTTAAATAGCAAAATAAAAAATCAATTTGGCATGAAGGAGGTCTGTAGGCCGCAGCAGACATGAGGGTGAACCTCATGTTATATCAACGCTCGGAGCTATGTTTTTCCGATATATTTTTCAAAACCATTCTTCAGGTTAAAAAAAATATTTAGAGCCGTACCGAACGCTGCCTCGGGATCAGGATCATTGAGTAAATGATATATAAAAGGAGACACGTGAGGCTGCTTGACAGTTACATTATCATGATCCACAGCTGGGAATTTTATGACTTACCAGCTCCGAACCTGAAGTGGTGATCAAAAATGCCAATTTTTATACACATACCGTATTCAAATTGGCAAAAATGTGTGATTCTTGTTCCTGCAGGATGTACGCTCCAAGATTATAATGATCATTGGGAGTTGAAGAATTTCGACTTCAGTGATTTCATCAATTCATCGAAAGCAGAATTCATCGGCCGGCAATGGCTGTACCAGGAAATGGAAACTGTTTTAGAGCACACTCAAAAGCGTGGTGTTTTAATAACTGGAAATCCAGGCTCTGGTAAGTCTGCTTTCCTTAGTTATTTGCTTTGTTCCAGAACATCAAGTCCAGTTATTCACAGCAGAATCCTTGGGTATCATTTTTGCATGCACGTCGACAAAGGAACGCAGACTGGAGCCAAGTTCGTTCGAAATCTTGCCAACATGATCGCTTCAAAACTGGAGAAGTACGGCAAAATCCTTGAGACTGATCCGTTTGTTCGAAGAGTATTACACAAGGATTGTCCTCAAGACTCAGAATGGTGTTTCGAACAAGGAATACTTACCCCCTTGAAAAACCTTGGACTAGAACCTGAGAAGCCTTGGTATATTGTCGTTGACGCCTTAGATGAATGTGCGAACGACAAGGCAGAGATTCTAAACATTCTTAAATCCAAAATTCGACGCCTTCCAAAGTGGCTGAAGCTGATTTTGAGCTCAAGGAATGTAAGCACCATCACTGCAAGTTTCAAAGGGCTGAAAATAGTAGAGTTACGGTCGGACGACACAAAAAACCTAGATGACATTGATACATATTTATCCTTCAAGGTGTTTTCTTGGAAAGATTCCCTCGTGCATAAAATTAAAACGAACCTTGCAATCACAAATAACGAGGCGCCAGCTCAGAAAATTGTTTCAATTTTGACCCAGAAAGGTCAGGGAAACTTTCAGTTTGTTAAAGTTTTGTTGGACTTGTGGATGGAAACAACCCAAAGTGTCAGTTTGGATACGTTTCCTCAAACTCTTGACACCACATATCAGCTATACTTCGAGAGAAAGTATGCCACATCCGAATCTTTTCAACCCTTGCGAGCAATTTTTGAAGTGCTTGTTGCAGCATACACCCCCCTTACTATCCATGAAATGCACTTAGCACTCAAGCTTGGACACCCAGCTCTTGACCTTGAGTACGACCTCATGCCAAAACTTGACCTTGTATCTTTGTTCTTGTGGCATGGATCAGGAGAGGATCTCATTCGGATTCATCATGCATCTTTGTCTGAGTGGCTCACGAGTGATAAAAACAAAGGGAAATTCTATTATATCAAGAAGCAAAATGGTCATAACCGTCTTGCAAAGTACTATCTGAAAAAGGCTGAAGAAAGCAATTTCCCCCTCAAGCCGGATAGTGCCTTTTACCTGGCGAGTCATATTGTTGAAGGGGGTCTGGATGATCCTTTGGTGGAGCAATTTCTGTCCCTGCCATCAAGTCATATTAATTCAAGCGACCCTTTGACTCAAATGACAGCACTTCACCACAGTTCCAGCTGGTTTAATGCAGATGTAACTAAACTTCTCGTGGGCCACTTCAGCGATGTTGACAATGTAGACTACAACCAACGTACACCAGCGTTTATAGCGGCAACTTCTGGCTACTTGAAAAACTTGAAGATTCTGTTTGGTAGAGGAGCTAACCTCAACCGTAGAGCAGCATACTTGGATTTTGAAAGTGTCTCACACTCCAAAAATCCCATTAAAGAGTGTAGAAGAAAGCTATGCGGATATTCATTATTGCATACAGCCGCTCAAAAAGGTAACAACGATGTTGTAGCCTTTCTTATTCAGCACAAAGTGAATATTTTCAGCACAACTGGAGCTAACAATACTGCTCTGCAATTGGCGGCGGCTAACGGTCATCTTGACATTGTCCAGATACTTCAGAGCGCTGGGGGAGAACTGGATGACATATCATTACATCACGCAGCAGCTGGGGGTCATAATGAGGTCGTACAATACCTACTGGGAGAAGGAGTTGCAGATGACTGTGTCCAGAACATCCCGTTTTCTGCTTTTCCTGATGAAGATGGGAGCGAATTGGAGTCTAAAAAATTACGTTTGTATGATAACCATCATCTTCACCTGCGTGAAACAGCCCTTCATGCGGCAGTTGCTCGAGGACATGTGGACGTGATTAAAACTTTGTTGAGCCAAGACCAAAATACTATTAATTGTCCAAATTCTGCGACAAGACTCCCCTTACACGAGGCTGTGTACGCAAATAATTATAACATCTTAGAAACACTGTTGAAGTCTGGAGTTGATGCCAATGTTCATTGTAATGATAGAATGTTATCATCGAGTACTGGCTCCTTTACAGAAGGTACGATGTTTCCAACTCGTTGTCCGTGTGGATTTACTGCTATGCATATCGCTGCTAAGCATGGCTATCATAGTATTGCCGAGTTGCTTATCAAGTACGAAGTAGATCCTGACACGTTTGATTGTAATGGCTCCACGCCACTCCACATCGCCTCCTGCCACAATATGCCATCCCTTGTAACACTTCTGGTCAGCAGTGGAGCAGATATCGATGCACGAAGCCTAAATGGATCAACACCCCTACATAGTGCCGCGTCATGTTTTTCAAAGGACGTTTTTGGGCCTCTGTTTGACCTGAGATGCGATCACCAAGCTACTGATGGCGAGGGAATGACGGCTTTACACTATGTGGTAAAAGACATAACACACGTGGGTTCTGAGTATTTTGCAGACTTATATGTCACCAATCCTAAGGGTTGGATAGAGAAACATTCTGGAGCTTTTCAGACGATCATGAGCGAATTGGATATTCAATATCCTTGGTTAAATACCTTGATCAAGCTTGTTAAGCTGGATTCCAAGAGAGGAAAAGCTAATACTCTAGCTATGCGAGACCATAGAAATCGAACGTTCTTCCATATATTAGAAGAGAAAACCAGTACTTTCAACAACCTAACAGGAAGCAGTCGTTTCAGCGAAAGTTCTCTTGTGTTATCCTTGACACCTTTCATTATTTCTTACGATATTGCAGTCTCTGAGAGGCTGAAGGACCGTGTCGTTGCGTTAAATAAGCCATATGAACAAGCCTTGGTTGCAACGTCTTTTACGAGGGTCATATCGCGAGCGTATACAACAACATTTACAAAGTTCAACTGCTCACATCTGCTTGATTATGTTAGACTCCATTTCGTTTATGCCGCCAACACCTTATTACAAGCAGGTGTGGACGTTAACTGTCGAGGTGCCTCGGGGCTAACTCCTCTGCTTGCTTATTTGCGCATCGGTGGCCGTCATATGTCAAAAGTTCTTGTAAAACATAACGTGAAAGTGGACATCACGTGTGGAGATCCCTTCGAGGATTCAGTCTTTCACTTAGCGTCATATCACAAACTGCATTACCTTCATTACCTTTACGAATATTTAAAGGGAAGTGATAACTGGCAAAAATATTTGCAAACAGAAAATGCGTTTTTCGACTACTTTCTGGATAAATACGACGAGCACATCGACGAGGGAAACCTGAAAACAATCAAGACCGGCGATGGACCATTGACTTTGGCCATTCTGTCTTATTTTGACGGCAGTAACGTTTTAGATGAATGTTTTGATGCAGAGGGCTATAACGCTCTACATAGAGCGGCTCAGGGTGCAAACCTGGTGGCAATTGAAAAATTTCTTTCTTTAGGTGCTAACCTAAGTATAGAAACTCATGACGGGTCCTCCCCTTTATGGCTTTCAGTATTATATGCTGTGAAATACAGGCCTTTTCTAAACCTCGAAGTACCCAGTGCACTCACAGCTTTGGAGGTTGAATTCGCCTCACTTTCGGCTTCAGCTATTTTAAATCATTTCCTTAAAGATGGGACCTTGGATATTGGCTGTAGTGAAAAGCGTTCTGATCTGACCCTTTACCACGTTGCAGCTACCCGAGGGATGTGGCAATTTATTGCACATTTGCTCTCTAGCAGTGAAATTATTGGTGTTGATGTGGACTGCCCCAATAAAGATGGAATTACTCCAATGTACTTAGCATTATTCATTGGCGGCGACTCGTGTGAGTGGCACAGTCCATGGTGCAAAGTTGTCGACGTAATAAAGAACTACGGTGGTACTCTTCGATATCCCTCGCTAGAAGCAGAGTACTTCCTCATCTACAATATGTTCTTTGGAATGAATCCTAGCAGGTTGTTTCTAGAGCTTACGGAAGATGAGATACTAACTCTTCAGGAGGGCTGTGGGCGCGATGAATGCCGAAAATATAAGGCTGCAAACGTCAACCTTTTCAAAACATCTGACGAAGTAGATAGAATTCGCGTCGATTACCAGAAGAAGGTGGACAAATGTTCTTCATTCATAGCAGATTGTCCAGCTGACATAAAAAGAGGTTTACCCCATTTTACAATTGTGGTGATTTTCCTTGACCGCCAACAGGCCCTAAAACTTAACTTTCTAGATACTCGAAATTCTCTTGTTACTTTCCTCGACGATGAAATCGAGCGACTGAAGAACCTTTTGTTTGTTGCCTCGAGACCTCATGCAGAAATGCGTTGTACAAAAGCTCCAAAAGATTACAAACCAAAGGAAGAAACCATTGATATGTGTTACCAGTTTCGTGGTAAACAGGATCTCGAAACTCTACTTCACAAATTCTATCGCAATTACAAACGGAACCTCGATTTAGTCCTAGAAAAGTCGGATGAAGTGAGATCTCACATGCCTTTAAATGGTAAACTGCCACGATTTTTATCAAAGATGAATTTTGCATTAGCTGATTACGATACTTCCTTAAATTGTGACTGGCAAGCAATTGCAATCAAGTATGTGCAGCTTAGTTTCCAGGTGCGCAATTTGAACTATTGGATTCAGGCTGCCCACAAAACGTCTACAGTGCCAAGCGTATCGGGTTTTCTTTCGAAAAGAATGGAAAATGCTATCCTGCAACATTCAGAAGAGTCACTTAAACTTGTTCTCAAGCTGGCATCCGGACACCCGACTGAAGCCTTTAATTATCTAAGAACTTTGAGATTTACACGGCCACCTATGTGGTATGAGACGTTTGGTGTAGGAAACTTTGGGCAGAGAATGGGTCCGTAGGAGATAACAATTTATGTCCACTTTTTTGACTGACCTAATGAAGAGAACTCCAAAACATTCGATTCAACTAAATTTTAATCCACTGATTGACACATTTTTTATTACTGAGTGACATAATTAATTTGACAATGTAACAGCTCGAAATAGGTCGTAGACAAAATTGAATTTTTTACGGAGTTAAGGAAACACAGTCCGTGGTTTAAACAGGTTTGAAAGGGCCTCATTTGACCGTCTGTCCACTGGACTCGTTTGCTTGTTGTGTTTAACGAATGTTTTGAGTGGTCCCATTTCCCCCTGTTTTTATATCTCTATAAATATATATCTTTCTTGTGAAAAACGTTTTTACTTCCATCATATCTAAACTTGAATCGCAGTTAAGGAGGGAGTTTGCTTTCTCGCTGAAAACTCAAATATTAATTTTTGTACATTTTGATCAATGAATCGTCAAATCAAGCTGCTAATATAATGTTTATTTTTTTATAATGCCTAGAGAACATCACAGCAGAAAAAAAATGGTTTCTTTTAGTATTTACCTAAAAAAGCCACAGTCCTCAGTCTCCGAAAAAAAAAGTTAAATTTCTCTTCCTAAAATCTACAGATTTGGGTCGATTATTCAACTGAATAGGAGTTTTGTAAGCTGTTTTAGTTTTAATCTAGCTTGTTCAGTACTCCAGTGAACAATTAGAACGTAGGAGTAAAATTTGATCGTGTAGTCCGATCGTCCTGGTCAGAGTAGTCCTGAGAAGTCGTCGGTTGCAGAGACTTATATTTCGATAACCTTAGCGGAAGTCCAGCAAGAGTCTTCTGAGAATGACTTCCGCTTAGGTTGCGAAACGTCGGTTACCACTACCCACAGTGGTCCTTCTCAGGACGATCAATTCTCTCACGAACGATGAGCCCAACGCGATCAAGGCGTCAAGCAATTGCAAGAACCCCAAATATGACTTAAATAAATGTAAGTAACTTTCTGAATTAAAAATAACCAAACAGTAAATGGGACGTTAGCAATTTTTCATTCGAGCTCCAGTGAGGCTTTGGCTAAGATTCTGTGACTACAAGGCTGAAATACAGTAGTTATGAGCTACCGTAGAAGAGATTGGTCAGAAATCCGGCAGATTTCTTAGGTAAATTTTTTTTTTTAGGCCTTTTGGGTTTGGCATTCCAATTATTTTGAGCTGACTGATCGATAGAAACTTCTCATCAACTATCTTCAGTATCAAAGTGTAAAATCAAAAGCAGAGCAGTAGATAGGGCACGGTCAGAGAAATCCCAACGTAAACGGTAACACCGTTTTCACCTGTTCGAATCTTTGCTTTATGCTAGCTTTCCTGACCAGTCAACTCTACCCTGACTACCGTTAAACGTACCAAATTATGTCAACGTTTTTACTTAGAAATAAAGTATTGTTTTGGAAGTAATTGACTCCCTATTTACTCCTCGAGTTACCGACATATCCAATAGTTTGACAACAAAAAAAATCGAACGAAATCCCAGATAGCTTCGCAGCTAGCCTGCCAGGCGCCTTTTAAGGACGAATTTGGGTTTTAAGATTGCTCAAACTCTCGTCATCTTAGCAGCAACTGAGCAAGGAAACCCTTCAAATTTAAGGTCATCATCCCTGTAGCTGCTTGACTTGTTTAAAGCCGATGAAAGGTATTTTATTGAACTGTGGACAGCTTCAATATAATTCATTTTCAAAAAAAAAAAACAGCGAAACATTTCTTTAACTCATCTCTCATATTTATTTAATGTCAAGTTTTGCCGAATAGGCTCAGTTTTCAGGCCAGGCGAGCCTCTAAGAACTTTAAGTGTCTAAAAATATCTCAAAAATTACAGGTCTGACAGAAGCAGTCAACTGAAAACAATTTGCATCCCAACTATTTGAGTGAAGAACTGAAAACTGCTTCAAATCACTTTGCCAACATGATTTACAAGCTGTTCGTGTAGACAACAAATTCTAAGGAATTTTCTTCAACTATGTATTGTTGAAATTCTCTAACTTCAATTTATAAGACATAACATATGAATTTAAATTATGGGTTTTATAAATTCTACGCTCGGCTTACTCTTGTGTATATCGACAGCATCCATTGCTATAATCTTTAGCCGTTTTGTTCATGAGTTCGGTCGGATTTCCTTGATAGCTTCCAAGGCCTTTTCCATTTCCTCGCCGTTAAGCCGAGCTAAGCGATCCACGGCATCACAGATCATTTCCTCTTTCTTGATGACCCATTGCAACTCTTCCTCCACAGCTCGCTTTTTCTCGTCGTCAAACCAATCTTTGAAGAGGAAGTCCCCGCTTTGAAAATTCTCAGCGTCAAACTGCTTCCATGTTCTTATCCCCGTGAAAGCAATAAAAAATGATCCCTCGGCAACGGAGCGGAGCTTTTTCATTTCTTCCTCCCAACAGACCACTCGAATGGTTCCACTGTTCTTGTAGCCAAAGCCATGATGAAAAATGCCTCTCCTGTCCAAGAAGCAGACCAGAGTCCTGGACTCGATGTCATCTTGTTTGCAAAGCATAACTCCATGCCCAATATCGTGAACTCTTTTACTCAAAATGTGCAGCAGATGCAAAGTATCCATTGTAAGCAAATGTAAATAAACGATGAAAACGAAGTACGGAGGAAAGTGAAAATAACAGCGCTTTCATTAAAGGACTGGGCTCTAGGTTTCTGTCCACCCAGGTTTTTTCCAATCCCTACTCGCCCGTAAAAACCCATATTTGAAAATTTTATATTCACCTGGTTTTACTTAAACTCTCTTCATTTTAACGCTAGACGTTTGTCCCTTTGCATTTTCATATTACCTCCAAGCAAAAAGTAGGGCTTGAGTGTGAATCTTAACATCGCACTGGAGGAAAGTAGGTCTAGGTGAACGTAAGTTGCCAACATTTATATAGCAAAACAAAAGTCTATTTCCGCTTCCGCTCTTCGGATGTCACGCAACGCTTAAACGCTTCCTTTCAAAGGAGAAGTGAGTGACATCTCAAACAACAGCTTCGAAGAGGTCTGATGAAATTTAGTCCCTTTTACCTCTTTTTTTAATTGTTAGCTCACACTATCTGAATTCACTTTGAGAAGCATTACCCTCGAGTTAAATGGCAGATATATCAGCTTCGTTTCAGGGATAAACAGTATTTATTTTGTTTTGAATTTTAAAGTACTTGATTCCCAATAATCTTATGCAAAATTGTGTTCCATATCATTGAATTTTAATGTTTGAAACCACTATGAATGACAATTCACGAATATATGTACAAGTGCATATCCGGGACATCTAAAATAATAAAATCGGGGCTGTTTTCTCGGAAATCTGACGTCATAGCCCAGCAATACTGAGAAATCGACCAAATCAACAGAAAAACCGGCTGTATAAAATTGTGCTTAGTTCTCGTAATATTCAGTGGAAGAGATCGAAGGCATATAAAGCTTGAAGGTGAGTTCTAAAGTCGAGGATTTTCGTAATCATACTGGTGTGTTTCTCAATTTTTTTTCTGAATTATGAGGACGATCTCTCTTTTGCTTTCCCTGGCTGGGTTATCTGAGATTCTGGCTTCGTAATTTTCAACTCGTTCTTATTTTAGTCTGTGACGTTTAATACCATACAATTTTTTTATGGGCCTTTGTAAAACCCTCGGTCGTGAGAAATCCTACTCTAAATTGGCCGATCGATTGTGCGATGAATATACTATGCTCGTTTCTAAGAAATGACATCATCGGTGTAGTTTTCTGAGAATTCTGTCTTGGAGAGAATTAGCTAACGCAATTGTTCATTCAATACTTACGATTCGTGCGCAGTACACAGATTTGACTTCAAGTGCAGTAAAGTAACGATGAAATCATTGGAGATTTTTCGAACTTCGTTAGTGCCACCGATGTAAGGAGAATAAAAAATTGAAAGTGTTTCCGTATGACATTTCGCACCCCAGGTGCAAACGTTCCTCACATCCGGTTGCCGTTGTCGCAGAATATTTCCGTAATGCTCGAGAGTTTCGTCGACTATCTAATACTGCATCCACTGATGATCGCAGGTCGAGAAAGATTTAAAATTTCTTGTAACGTGATCATAGTTTATAACAAAAGTTTCAGCCGGCCGGTGGGGTAAAGCCTCATAATTATTCTTAGCGAGCAGTTTGATTGAAGTTCACCGAGCACTGCTTTCATTTTTGTCTTCAAAAGACGAATTTTAATGGTCAGGAGTTACAGTAGACTTTTTTTAGTCAGTCTACCAAATTACAACTGTCTGATTTCAATAATTAGTGCTTCTTAAGGTGCCTTCTGACTTGGCTTGAGAGCTCGGTATACGTAAGAAACGAAAGTAAACCGAACATTGAGGATTACTCATACAGTAGGTGTGTACGATGTCACCATCCTGCAAACCTTACACGACTCTCGGTTTAAAGCATCGAACATAACTTCCTGTTAGCTTCATTTTAGTCGTACGGGTCAACAAAATTATCTTTGGTATTGCATCAATCGTCGTATTTCCGGCCTGATTTCCCTGAATAATTAGTCAGTTTTGGCGAACATATTGAAGGGCAACGACTGAACATTTTGGAGTTAAAAGCAGCTCATGCTACTGAATAGTAATAGAGTAATAGTAATAGAATAATAATAATAGAGTAGTTTCTTTTGTAAATCATTAACTTTGCCTTCGCGGAGACGTGACTATTTTCACTCGGTCTTTCGCCTTGTGTGAAGTGCATATCATGTTTCTTGTTTCACTTTAATTTGCATCAAATTCATGTGGGAATCGCAACTGTGAATCTTTTTTGTTTAAAAAACGGTTTGATCATTCCCATTACAGACATATTCCACTATGTATCGTAGTCGCCACCCTAGGTCGAGCAGAAGTCTTGAGCAGGAGAAAATTATTGCCCAAACGTTTGTTAAGTTTCTGGAGGACAACAATCGTAAGGAAGACATGTTTGTAGACGAATTGAGGCAGATATACCAAGAAGAATTTCGCCGTCTGTACAGCACGCTGGGTATGTCATTCTCCAAAATTTTGAACACACTCACGTACCATATAAATGCTTGTCAGCAACTTCAAGATCGTGTTATCTTTGGTGGTGGAGAAGCCGCAGCTCTTCAACTCCTCACTGATGATCCTGATGATGATCTTTGTTACCGCTCGCCCTCGAGCTTGAGCCCTTTCTATTGTAATATATGTAAAAGAGATCTTGGAAATGATAGAGCTTACAGCAAACACATCGAAGGGGTGAAACATCGCCAACAGTACATCCTCATAACGATTCGAAAATCACTGAAAAAGTAAGTGTTTTCCTTTGCAAGGTAACTCAAAGATATTCTATTGTTCTGCTTTTTGCTAATATCTATTTCGTTCCTAAAGAGAGTCAGGAAAAACTAGTTACAATACTTACAAGATTACAGAAATAATGGTTTAATTTATTTCATTATTTCCATTAAGCTGCATGATTAAATAATGGTTGCTTTCTTGATAATATTGAAGTTTCGTTTTAGTTTCTAGAATGCTCACATGTAAATTAGGGACAATTTGCACGTGTTCAGACATGATTTTAAATTGTTTCTTCCACAACTGTTCTTAGTACGGGAAGTAAGTTTCCCCCCTACTGCTCTCCCGTCATGACTGACCCCCTTCTCTCTCGTTAGTTAAGTATTTCCATGTGACAAACATCATTGAAATCTGAGGATCAAAATTGAAGATATGTTTCTTGTATGGTTGTCATAGTAAGGGGCGATGTTTGTCAAGTAAGGGACACAGCGGACCTGAAAAAACTTTGAGAAAATTCCTCGGTAACAAGTCATTTTTTTCTGTTTTTGTTCATCCAGGCCAGAGCTTGTCTTTGACAAAAATGGGATAAGAGTTACTTCAGATCCCGCTGGAGATGAACATGGTGTGATTGAATTAAAAGTGGAGAGTGGAAAATACGGACAAATTGTGTTAATCATCGAGAACCTCAGTGAGGAGACCATCACCCTTGAGGATATAACCCTACTGTGGAGTGTGAACTTTTTTGATTACTCGGAAATATCCAGTATTGGGTCTTATGTGGGTCAGCTCCACCCAGGTAATTTTTTGACCGGCTCACCAGAACACTTACGAAATTTCCATTGTTAAGTTTCTTCCAATTTTCTTTTAATTGTGACATTGATATTAGAGAAATAGACTTATGATGGAGAAAGGAGATATATTTGCAGTAGAAGAGGGAATTTTCCTCTTGATTAATATACATATTTTCCCAATAAATCCTGTCTGACAGGGCACTCATAAAATGGTTGAGATGATTTGCTATGAAAAACATTTGTCTCTGATGGTTTAGGACTGTCCTGAAATCGCTGCCAAAATGCACATCAAAGACACCGATCTCGATACCTACAGACTAACTGTTCTATTTCAGTGTGACTCGAGGTTTTTAAGAGTGTGAACTTAATAACAAGGTTTCACGTAAAGCGCTTCTAGTTTCTTTTTTTCTTGTAGGTCTAACTGATCATTCGGCGCGAGCAAAAAATATTACATGTATTGTGTTTAGATTGCGCATATAGTCAACTGCTTTGGACTCAGTTGAACGAGGGCAGTCCATCATCTCGTGAAAACTGCTTTACTACTGAGTTTAAATTGCTTCGTAATGTTATGCATATTTCTACAGTGACGTGAGGAAATGGATTTTTATTTGACAGGTTGTCAGAGGAGGTTCAGGATTGGCTGCAAACGTCGCCGGGAGTTTGGTTATTCGTATGTTCCCGGTGTGCTTACATTTCAGACCGAAGACGGGGTGGAGTTTCACATCCTTAGGTTTTTTTCTGTGCGCATCGTGAGTGACTTGTACGATGACTTGAAGCAGACCTCAGAGTATAAACCTCCCCAACGGGCAACAGAAATTCCCAGGGATGTTAAAACATTTGGAGGGATACCCCTTCCACGGTACAGTATGGCATTTTCTGTGTTGCTGACTTTTCAATTATCGGTTTTTGTGATTGTTCTTTTTCATCATCCGTCTGCGTTGGTCCACGGAATACCTGAAGAAGTGTCACTGAAATACTTTAATTCATTGAAAAAGCTAGTATGAGTTTGAAAAAAAATTCTTTTGAGGCATCGGTACCACTTGCCATAAGCCAACCAACCTACAAGGCTGAATACTAAGACGAAGGACATGCACCTTCAGTGTACAGTTTCAGTTTCTAGAGACGCTTGTTAAATGCATCTCCAAACAAAAGAGTTTCGGCGACTGGTTATGCAACTAATTATGCTCCAAAATGTGTGTTTCTTTGCATTCAAAATTTCCTCCGAGGAAGTCTTGTATTAACAAGAGTGACTCTTGTTAATGGAGTGCTTATTATTTTTATTATTATTTTTTTTTTTTGGTGAAAATACGTCCAAAACTTTTCTGAGACTTTCCTCAAATCGATAAACGTAAGTAACACGTACTCATAAACCAAGATATGGATTCGTACATGATTATTTTTTATTTACTGACTTTCAGGCAGAAAACGAAGTAACTCAGAGGTGATAACTCATGTGCTCAGTTATGGAATTCAAATATTGCATAACTGATATTGCAATCACTTAAATTTTTTATTTTGATCTTCCTAGTCTACAGAGGAATGGCTTAATTATGGAGAAGCTGGACTTTTACGACATCCCTTTAACTGTAAAAGCCCAGGTCATTAAAAGCAATCAAATCCGAGAAGGACTTTGGTAAGGAAACTTTGTGCTTTAAAAGGAGGTGTATAATCTGCAGCTCACCTGCTTGTCTTGTTTTCAGTGAGCGACTGAAAAAGAAGTTGAGCTTTGACAATTACAAAGAGAAGTTCTCTCTGCTTCTTCACGTGGAAGAACTACAAATGCAGAAGGATATTAGAAACTATGATATGAAAGGAGTTGAATTTCAACAGGAAAGAGGAGACAGACGCTTTCTGATCTTAGAGGTGGGTGTATATTCTTAATAACACATGCTACATTAAAAGCCTTTTTTGTTTGCCGAAATAACACCGATGCTGAGAGGAGCAATTTTTCCTCGTTTATTTTCCATTTATACCTGAAAGATTATTTTCTTTCGGCCACACTGCTTGCTTTCGAAAACCTCTGGGGTCTGGGGTTCAATTTTCTTCGAGGACTGGGGGAGTTTAGCACTCGTCCTTCTATAATACGATGATTAATTTTTTATAATTTTTCTGTTAGACTACTGAGTTTACATTTTCCTCTCGAGAAAAAGAAACATGCATGGAACACATAGGAAGAGTTTATTGACTAAAAAATTTCAGTTTCGTGGTTAATTTTTGATTTTATTGTACATTTATTTGTTGTTATTGTGTGTGAATTCTAGGTACCCGGTCTTGCAGAAAATCGCCCGTCCGTGTTACGCAGTGACAAGATCTATGCCTACGAGCCAGGTGTATTACAGCGACGATACGAAGGAATCGTGCACAAAGTCCAAATGCTGGATGTGAAACTTGGCTTTAACATGAACGAGTACGTAGTGCATTAGTCAAAGTATATCATAAGAAGGTATCATTGTTCTCAGAGTCTTGCATGAGTTCCTTTTACCGGCCTAGAAAGCGAACCATGTGAATTGCTACTTCACGATAGCCGGTTTATTCTATATAGTACGATTAGACTCGGTAAACTACAACGACTTATTGGGAAGAGACTGACGACTGAGGAAGTAGCAAGGTTTTTTACGAAAACATTGGAGAAGAGTTGAAAGCAGAACCCGTCATAAGAAAATGGCTCTTTATAGGAAGTCACCTCCAAGGGGTTAGGAGTGTCTTGTGATCTCGTATCTCATATTTCCTCCTCAGTATGCCTTATGTTAAGGGTAAGAAGTTCGACATCCAGTTCACTTTTCATCGACTTCCAGTACAGATGGAACATCGCGCGTGCGAGCAGATTGCGTCTGTGAACAGGCAAGACATGCGACACGTTCTCTTTCCATCAGATGACTGTCTCGATCAAAGGGGAGAAATTAACAAGGAGGTCCGGTAGGTTATAAATTATAAGGACATAATCCTTTAGTGATAATTCACGGTATTGCCATGCTCCACACTAAAGAGGTGCGATTACAAAATGGGAATCACTGCGACGATGTATAAGTGTTAAAACAAATAATGTACGAGTCATAATATTTTGGCCTGTGGATAATTAGTGATATAGACTGATCGCCATAAGTGAACTGCAAATATAGAAACTGCAGAAAATCAAAGTCTGGAAGAAATTAGAGGGATTCGACAGCGCTTCAGACTCATTCCAGTTCTAGAAACCGACTGGGCACGATACTACCATTAGAGTTTTGAGGCTAGGACTTGCCAGATCTTAAAGTAATTTAGCTCTCTAAATAATGAATATCCCGAGAGAGCATCTTTTTCTTCCTGTGCGATCTTACCAATTGTCGGCGTAGAGATGCAAAGCTTCTTATTGTCCACATAACTACATATATAAAGCTTGATCGTTGACATTTACCTCATTGGTGTTATTCTTTTTTAGTAAAACCACATGCAAAGTAGATTTTCCGACTTAAAGAGCACTTTTGAAAGGCTCCTACACAAAATACAGTAATTTCTTGTTTTCAGTTTCTTTTACGACCGCAACCTGAACAGTGAACAGGAGCAAGCGGTCCAAAAGATTGTGTCAGGATCTTCACGCCCTGCTCCATACCTCGTGTTTGGACCCCCCGGGACTGGAAAGACGGTTACTTTGGTCGAGGCGATTAAACAGGTGAAGAGGATTTCTTAAGGAGCTTTCCCATTTCTCACCTATTTGATAAAAATGGCTCTAGCTCTGAATTGAAATATTAAGTCGATTCCTAGCGTACGAGTTGCGCTTTGCCGCCTGTAACCAATATAAAGTGTCACCGGAAATTTTCAGCAAAAACGCTTGCGAATTTTGCAAGTAGATCTCACAGGAGCGTGAATCCTGACTGGCTATGTACTCGTAGGTAAACGCTAATTCGCCTGGTTGGTTTTCAACGCTGAATCGTTCTTTTAAGGGTCTACTGGGTTGTCCCGACGAATTGAAAGTTGTCTAGGTTATTTATTTTTATAGCATTCTGGCATTTTCATTAACGGACTGAAAAATACAACCAGTAATTCGCTGTCTGTCTTCTCTTCGTTACTTACAGGTGCACGCTTTGATTGGCTCAAGCTACATTCTGG